GCCAGATTGATTTCCAAAGTGATTTTACAAGTTTATATTTCCACCAGGAGTGGAGGAGGGTTCCTCTTTCTCAGCATCCTCTTCTGTATGTACTGTCACTTAAGCTTTAGATCTTAGCTATTCTGATGGGTGTAACGTGAAATCTCAGGGTTGTTTTGATTTGCATTTCCCTGATGACTAAGGACATTGAGCATTTCTTTAAATGTTTCTCTGCCATCTGATATTCTTCTATTGAGAATTCTCTGTTTAGCTCTGTCCCCCCCTTTTTTAAATTGGATTACTTGATTTTTTGCTGTTTAATTTGAGTTCTCTATATATTCTGGATATTAGCCCTCTGTCAGATATAGGGTTAGTGAACATCCTTTCTCAATCTGTAGACAGGGTTCTTTGCTTTACAGAAGCTTTTCAGTTTCATGAGGTCCCATTTATTGATTGCACAGTTGCTCTTAGAGCCTGTGCTTTTGGTGTTTTGTTACACCAGCGAAGACACAAGACCTGAGAAAGAGTTTTTCCTGGCACAGGCAAGAAGAGCATAAGAGTTCTTTCCAAAGCAATGGTTTTCTTCAACAAAGCAAGCACCATAATTTAACTTAGGGCATATAGATAAGTTCAAATGTGGGTTCCCCTACAAAGAGCCATTCTAAATTAATCCCTATACTGAATGTGATGATAATGTAAAATCAGAGATAAAAAGGCACTCTTGGCTCAAAGTCATGCGGAAATATGTGTAAAATGGACAGAAATGCTCCTGAATTGTTTAATTGTGACCACAAGTTCTTAACTGAAAATGAAGTAAATGAGGTCATGAAATTAGATTGCACAGAAGGCAATACCATCTGGTAATCATGATGTCTAATCTATGAGGGGGATGTTTCTCACACAAAGGACAGAGAGCACAAATTTAGAAAACTTCTAACATCCCTGTTTACAGTATCCCTCAGGAAAAAAGTCTATAACTTGAAATATAGTCTGCATTTTGAAATCATTTTGATACATGATATTTCTACATAGCTATGGCTGTTTTAGAACTGTCCATGGAGCTGGGCATGGTGGCACATACCTTTAATCCCAGCACTCAAGGAGGAGGAGGCACAGATTTATGTGATTTTGAGGACGACTGGGTGTACAATGTGAGTCCAGAACAGCCAATGCTACACAAAAAATTGTGTCTCAAAACCAAACAGAGAACATACTCTGTGGAACAATCTGGCCTCAGTCTCAGAGAGATCAGCCTGCTACTGAATCCTAGGTTTAGGATGACAGGGATGCACTTCTGAGCCAAGCAATGATTTTTAAGTGGTCTATCCTTGAATCAATGAATTAAAGTATAAAATAAGATATACAAAGGAACCATTTTCCTTTTAATGAACAGCAATAAGTCTTCACATTCTATAAATAGTTTGTCTTCTCTAAGTGGCTACATTGCTTTGTTAATTTCATCATTTATAACTGGATATTAGACATATAATATAGGATAATCATACTAAAAATCTGTACAGCTAAAGAAGCTAATCAAGAAGGAGGATCCTGGGTAAGATGCTCAATCTTCATTCAGATAGGCAAACGGATGGACATCAGAAGAGGGAGAAAATAAGGAACTGGACAGGAGCCTACCACAGAGGGCCTCTGAAAGACTATCCAGCAGGGTATCAAAACAGATGCTGAGACTCATAACCAACCTTTGGGCAGAGTGCAGGTAATCTTATGAAAGAAGGGGGAGATAGAAAGACCTGAGGGGACAGGAGCTCCACAAGGAGAGCAATAAAACCAAAAAATCTGGGCACAGTAATTTTTGGAGACTCATACTCCAAACAAGAACCACGAATGGAGATAATGTAGTACCCCTGACAGAATTAGCCTATTGCAGCTCAGTGTCCAAGAGGGTACCCTAGTAATGGGAACAAGGACTGTCTCTGACATGAACTCAGTGCCTGGTTCTTTGATCACCTATGTCTGTGAGGGGAACCAGTCCACAGAGAAAGACAATGAAGACAGTTTGGATGAGAACTGATAGACTAGGTTCAGATGGAAGGAGAGAAGTACATCCCTTATCAGTGGACTGGGGAAGGAGCATAGGAGAAGAGGGAGAGAGGGTAGGATTGGGAGGGGATGAGGAAGGGTCTATAGCAGGGATACAAAGTGAATAAACTGCAATCAATAAAAATAAAAAAAAATTAAAAATTTTGGAGTGTGTTTGTGTGTACATACATTATGTTGTATACGTGCTAGTGAGAGTACAACTTATTGCTATTTATTATCTACATCCCATATGTAAGTTATTGACATGGAACACAAAGAGTCTTTTGACCAGTGACCACACTGGCCCTTATTTAGGCTGAAAAATTATTTACGTATCTGCTGGTGTGTGAGTTTGCATATACAGCAGCCCAACTATAGAAACATTAGAAAAATCTGTGGCAGTGATATGGACTACTCAGGGATTGAGCTCAAATCATCAGGCTTAGCAATAACTCAATTTACCCACTGAGAAAATTCTCTGACATTCACTTGTAGTTCTGAGAAAGTCTTAACAGTCTTTACTCCTAAGTAAGAACCATCACATTCCAAAACAAGACAGGAGTGTATAATTTTCATTTACAAGTAGCATTTATTATTTAAATAATTTCATTTTCTTCCATCCTCAGATGACAATATATTCATAATCAGAATAGAAGACAATAGTGTATTGATGTAACTTTACAAGTAAGTTTTATGAGTCTCAATGAGCTCAGTGGGGAGTGTTTGTGGTATGCAAAAGAGACAACATAGGCCGCCTCAGGCTCCTCGACCAGTGGTTGGACCCCCCTTCGGCAGCATTATGGATCCAAGCCTATTGAGAGACCAAGAGCTGTTCAAAAAACGAGCTCTTTCCACCCCTGTGGTAGAAAAATGTACTGTGCCTTCTGAGTCATCCTCCTCATCTAAGAAGAAGAATGTAAAAGTTGAACACGGAGGATCATGAGGCTTTAAACAAAATGCAGGTTGTAGCCCATCAGGAGGGAAGCTGCTGAGGCAGAAACTGAAACAGAGACCACTGGATCATAGCAATGGATCATTTAACTTGAAAGCTCTAACTGGCAGTTCTGGATATAAGTTTGGCGTTGTTGCTAAGATTGTGAATTACATGAAAACACATCAGCGAGGAGATACACATCCTTTAACTTTAGAAGAAATTTTGGATGAAACACAGCACTTAGATATTGGACTCAAGCAGAAACAATGGCTAATGACTGAGGCTTTAGTAAACAATCCCAAAATTGAAGTAGTAGATGGGAAATATGCCTTCAAGCCAAAGTACAACTTGAAAGATAAGAAGGCCTTACTCAGGCTTTTAGATAACCATGACCAGCGAGGATTAGGAGGAATTCTGCTAGAAGGCATAGAAGAGGGGTTGCCTAATTCCCAGAAAGCTGTCAAGGTTTTAGGGGACCAGATACTATTTGTAAATTGTCCTGATAAAAAGAAAATACTATTCTTCAATGATAAAAGCTGTCAGTTTTCTGTGGATGAAGAATTCCAGAAACTGTGGAGGAGTGTCACTGTGGATTCAATGGATGAAGAGAAACTTGAAGAGTATCTGAAGCGACAGGGTATTTCTTCTATGCAGGAATCTGGACCAAAGAAAGTGTCCTCTTTTCAGAGAAGGAAAAAGCCTGCTTCACAGAAAAAGTGGCGGTTTAAGACTCACAATGAACACTTGGCTGGAGTGCTGAAGGATTACTCGGACATTACCCCTGGGAAATAGGGAACATTTTTATCATTAAATAAACTTGCAGACACACGGTCAAGATCTTCCTTGATGCTTGGAATCTGAAGACTTACTGCCTTCCCATCTGCTCCTCGGACGGAGGGGAGGAGTTCAGTTTACAGAACAGGAGTGATTACCAAACTCATTGTTTTCATCCAACAGGCTAGTGGGGATGGGTGTCCCTGTTTAAGTTTCTGGGTTTATTTTATTTTTCTAGAAAGACACTTAGCATGGCACTCAGGAGTCTTTGCTATTTATCTTGATTTCTAAATGGTTCTTGATTCCATGTTTTCTCTATTGCTTTAGAACAAGTTGGCGAATAGTGCTGAATACAGTGTTTGTTTATTCCAAGAGAAAATATTTATAATAAAATTGTTTGTAGGAGGATCTTTAAGAAGTTAGGAAATTCAGTTTGTCTCTTTTAATTCTTGAAAATGGAAGGGAGGTGCTGCAGTTCCAGACTTGCCAGGGTGGGTGTTTGGGATGTGACAAAGATTGGAGTCACTTCTGGTGGCACTTATGTAGACTTATTTTTGGACACAGGGGTATGCCTCTGGTTAATAAGCTAAGCAATAAAATTATACTAAATGTAAAAAAAGAGACAACATAAACTTGAAGATCATATAACAACAACCAAAATAGAAATCATAAAGTATCACACTCTTCATATATCTGTAATAGCCTAAGAATGAATATTTCATTACTCACACAACATGGTATTTTGAAAGAAATCTCATTGCTGTTACATTAACTATCACCTCTAGATAAATCTCTTAGAAGGCAATACTTCAAGATGATGTGCCATATGGTAAATATGGGAACATGTAGAAGTATGAAACTTCAAACTATATATATATACATATATATATATATATATATATATATATATATATATATATACACACATACATACATACACACAAACTATTAAGCATTAATTAATTATTGAGATGCAAGCAAGGCTTAAAAACAAACATCTTAAATGAATTTGTGAAAACATAAAAAAGTACAAGTTCTCAGAGACCCTCCCTTGAAAACTATGATCTCACACTGCTTGATATAAATAAGCAATGGAGCAGATAGATGATGGGGATCCAATTCTATACATTGCAGCAGAAAAATACCTATAACCAAGTGGAAATGCATTAGAACACGAACAGCCACCACAGAAGGAATGTCAGAACAACCTAATACACTTCTGTGTATGGATTTGCTACACACACAGCAAATTCAATACCTACGCCAATGTTTCAATATTCAGACCATAACCACAAGTGGTGATCTCCATTACAATTAAGTGAACATGGTAAATAATTACTTCTTCCAGGGCTAAGATAAAAACAGATTCAAAATAGTTTCTTTCTTGGAAATGAATACATTTATTATTTCCCAAGTAATAAACTCTTTTGCATAAATAAGATTGCTCTCTTAAAAGAATTCTTTTCTACTTCCTGACATCAAGATGATATATTAAGTTTTAAGATATTGACAGTTCTAGATACATGGCTTTGCAGTTAAGACAAGTTCATTCCCAGGACCTAGGTCAGGTTTTTGACAACTTTCCATAATCCCTGGTATGAGAAAATCAGTGGGTATAGTCTACTTGGAAACTAGAATGGACAGGCACATAAACACAAAGACAAACTGTTATCACATAAGGGAAATTAAAGCAAATTCTTAAATATATGTTTACTCATGAATGTTTTACTTGTATAAGCATTCATTACTGAATTCAGGTGTTGAGGCAACTACAGTCTTATTTAAAAATGTTGTCTTCATCATGAATTCCTTCATGTAACAGAAATGAAACATGTAGGTATGAAATCAGAGAAATGAATCCTTTTCAGTTTTGTATCCCTACTGGAGAAAGTATGTTACTTGGGGTGGGCTTGATAGTTTTCAGCTGCATACCATCTATAGTTACTACTCTCTGCTTCATGTTGCAGGTGGAGGTTGTGAGCTCCAAGCTTCCTACTTTCACAGACACATAAGACACTTGTCTTGCCCAATTTATAGTGATCCCATATCCTCTCCAATCATAAAGCAAAGTAAACACATTTGGAAGTTGCCTTAGACATTGTGTTTAGTCACAGAAAATGCACTAATATGCAGACATAAATTTTACAACTAGATGATCTATTTCATGTAATTGAAGTGGATTGTGTAATAAAAATATATTATCTTATTGTTTCAATTCATATGCCTTTGGTCCATGAGATTTCAATTGGAAACAAATTAAGGATGGATGTCACAAACACATGCATACATTGTTGACACTTGTTAGAATTTTCCTCCAAACTAATCTAGTGTAATTGAATGCAAGTGGGTGGGTCAAAGACCTTAACAAATCTTTTATTCTAACAGATGTTCTACAGAATGTGTTCTTTTAGGTTCTCAAAGACTACTGTGATAGGCAAAGGTTTAAAGATGTATCCCACACAGTAAACCTTTTGCTCTTATATAATGGTAGCATGAAGCAGAAAACTTTACCATACTGACTACATTCATGGGGTTTCTCTGCAACATGACTTTTTTCTCATGATTTCAAAGAAAACCCTATGAAAAGGATTTACCACATTGCTTCTTCAGAGAGTTTTACTGCAATGTGTTTTCTTTTATGTATTTGGAGATAACTGTATTAAGAAAGGCTTTATCACATTGAAGACATGTGTAAGGTTTTTCTCTACTATCTGTTCATTTGTATACTTGAAGATGACTTTGATATGCAAAACATGTAAAAGCAAATTATGTGGGATCATGCAAGAGCAATTTGCCTTAAGTATTGCCTTTTAGATTCCAGCCTCCATTGATTTATAGGGTGAACATAAGTTTAAGTTCATAGTCCCTAGGAAAGCTGTAGACTTCCCAATAGCTGACCAGCTTTAAATACTTAACTTTTGTTGCCCAAAACATGACTGTTCCATACCATGGTTTCTGGTCCCCTAACATAATGACTGACCCAAACCACAGATTCTCTATCCTAAAACATAATACCTTTTCCTAACCACAAAAGAACAACTGGATATGATTGCTTTGACTGTAAAACCTACATTTTGCATCAGGTGACTTTCTCAATGACGTAAACAAATCCCATATCCCTAAACCATGACTGATGGAAATAATTCAGTTGTAAAACAGTAAAGATGTTTATGATTTTCAAGCTCAGAACCTCTGTAACTTTCGAGTTCATTGGATGGGTAGGCATCACAGTTCAACATTATGTGTCCTTCATCAAACTGGATGACAATATTTTTTTTTCATCTGTATTGATGTGTTTGAGTTGTATTGGATTCAGTG